GTCATTTCTCCTGTAATCCTGGCAGCAGCTTCAGGAGGTCATTACAGAGAATTGTTTGGTGAGGAAACCAAGGCTCAGAGAAGTTGGGTAACTTGCCCATGATCACACAGCCTGTGAGTCAGCTGCTCCCCAACTGTGTAGAGAGCCACAGGCTTGGAGGCAGTAGATACAGAATCAGAACTGGGCTGGGGGAGGGGGGTTAGGGGAGAGGGAGAGAGGGAAGGTGGAGGAGGTGGGAGGAATGTTGAGTTATGTGGGTGGGCAGGGAGGGGTGGGGGCCACACTGGGCCAGTTGGAGCTTGGGCCAGTGACTCCAACTCCAGGAAACAGGGACCTAACTATGATGTGATTGTAAAGAGTAAATGAGCCACATCACAGGAAGTGCTTAGCACAGGACTTGACCCACACTGTTCTCAATAATCCTGGAGGCAGTTTGAACCAGCCAACAAGAGCATGTTTTGTGGTGCTGCCTCCTTGTGGTGATGCTGAGCATTGCGTGAAGGTGGCCCCTGGGATTCCCAACTCCCAGAATGCGCTTGGACAAAGCCCTGAGGAGGGTGGGAAAAGACAAGCCTCCCTGCCCCCAATCCCAACAGGGGTCTGGCCCTCCTCTCAGGCAGTGGAGGAAATATTGGGCTGGAGGAAGCGCAGAGGAGGCTCCCATGCCAGTCCTAGGGGATCAGAGGGTACCTTGAGGCGGAAGGTATTAAGTGGGCTATAGTCAGGGGAGGGTGCATGGGCCTGCAGGAAGCAGTGGGGAAAAGGTTGGAAGGGAGTGTCCCAGTTGGAGGGAACAGTGTATGAGAAAGCCCAGTCGAGACAAATGCCAGATCCAAGAAACCAAAAAGGAGAGAACAGCCGAAATGAAGATTTAGAGTAGGGGGCAAGGGTGGGGTCTAAGGGCTCTAAGAGCCACTGCAAGGGGTCTGGACTCTGTTCTGAACATTTTAAGAAGTGGTTGGCTAGATAGAAAAGCTGGGGGCAGGATGGGGGAAGACAAGCCAGAGGCTGCTGCCCTCATCCAAGCCTGGAGGGGACAGATAGGGCATGTGGTGGCAGAGGATTGGGGCCAGAAGCTACATGAGTGAATGGAAACACCCAGGGAAGAGTGAGCGAGAAAGGCCTGAGCCCAAGCATCAGGTGCTGGGGTAGCAGCTGGAGGAGGAAAAAGCTGGAGTGAAGGCTCCAGACAAGCAGGGGCTGCAGCCAAGGCCACCTTCCCTTCTCTTTGCCTGGCTGTTTGGGGAGGAGAAAGAGCAGAGCAGGGTTGAGTCTTACCTGTGACCCTGAAGGCTGTGAGGCTTCTGCCAAGTCACTTGCCCTGTCTGATCCTAGATGGGGGTCTGCACAGGAGGATGGTGCTATGACCCACCTCCTGGGTTGGCAGGAGGGCCAGAGCAGTGGTGTGCTGGTAAACATTTAACCCTTGGCTCCCCCGGCGGGGGGACCCTGATTTGTTGATCTCCATGGTGTAGAAAGTCCCCTCGTGACCTATTTCAGGCTACCCAAAAGAAGTCACTAAGCAGAGTTGAGAAGCTATACTTTTTTAGAGTTACTGCACGTTGCCCATCAGAGTTGGGCAGGTCCAGAAACACAGCAGTGGCCCCTTGCCCCACCAGTCGCTCCACTGTGGCCAGACCTAGAACGGAGGCTCCTCCAGTTATTACAGCAACCAGGCCCTTCACGCTCCTTCACATGCCGCAGCTACCTTGTGCTAGCCTCTCTCCATTATTTAACCTTTTAAAAGATTTTATTTATTTATTTGAGAGAGGGGACGAATGGAGGAGGGGCAGAGGGAGAGAGCAGCAGACTTCAGGCTGAGCGTGGAGCCCGAAGCAGGGCTGGATCCCAGGACCCTGAGATCATGACCTGAGTCGAAGGCAGACGCCTAACCAACTGAGCCACCCAGGCGCCTCTCCCCATTATTTAATTTTTAATAATGGCTATGTTTAAAATGATTCCTAAAAAGGTAATGATCTCGGTTCTGGCCCCTGTGAACACCTCTAGCACTCACTGGCCACAGCAAGAGGACGTGCAAAGTAAGCCTCCAGATGGGCCAGGCCTTAGGCATCCAGGAGAGGCCCCACTTCGGCCTAGGGGGCTGCTGGGCCCCTGAGCAAACATTAAAGGAGCAAAGGGAGAAGCACACTGATTCCAGTGCCCCCAGGCCAGCCACGGGTTTGCCCACCACCCCACCGCTCCTGCCCGAGTTCACAGGTGGCAGGCACAAGACCTGCTCATTCCCAGGGGCATCACCTCCCAGGAGACCCAAGACTAACTCCTGCTCTTGGAGAAGGAATTTCCCCCAGCCCCACCTCAGGAAAACCATGAGTCATAGAGTCATTGGTGAACATCTTTTTCTTTGAAAACCCCAGGAGGCATTGGGGACTCCTTAGACCCCACTGCCTAGGCCTGGAGCTATAGACATGCCTGCAAGGCTCCGTGTCCTGAGCCAGAGGCAGTGGGTGAAGATGCTGGCCTAGGATGGACATCAACACCACAGAGCAGAGTCTCTGTCATGGGTGTGAGGGGGATGGGCAACAGCTTCCACCAGCCAGACTGTGCTGATGACGTGGAGAGAGTGTGGGAGTACTGGACTACCTTGTACCTATGTGACCTCAAGCCTCAGTTTCCTTATCTCTAAAATGGGGATGATTTGGGGGTGCCTGAGTGGCTCAGTCGTTAAGTGTCTGCCTTTGTCTCAGGTCATGATCCCAGGGTCCTGGGTTCGAGCCCCGCATGAGGCTCCCTGCTCAGTGGGAAACCTGCTTCTCCCTCTCCCATTCCCTCTGCTTGTGCTCCCTCTTTCGCTGTGTCTCTCTCTGTCAAATAAATATATAAAATCTTAAAATAAAATAAAACGGGGATGATTTTGTCTACTGCATAGGATTCTTTTTTTTAATTTAAATTCAATTAATTAACATGTAGTGTATTAGTTTCAGAAGTAGAATTTAGTGATTCATCAGTTGCATATAACACCCAGTGTTCATTCCATCACATTCCCTCCTTAATGCCCATCACGCACTTACCCCATCCCTCCACTCCCCTCCCCTCCAGCAACCCTGTTTGTTTCCTATAGTTAAGAGTCTCTTATGGCTCGTCTCACTCTCTGATTTCGTCTTATTTTTCCCTCCCTTCCCCTCTGATCTTGTTTTGTTTCTTAAATTCCACATATGAGTGAAATCATGTAATTGTCTTTCTCTGATTGACTTATTTCGCTTAGCATACCTCTAGTTCGATCCACATTGTTGCAAATGGTAAGATTTCAATTTTTTGATGACTGATTAATATTCCACTGTGTATATATACCACATCTTCTTTATCCGTTCATTTGTCAATGGACATCTGGGCTCTTTGCATAGTTTGGCTATTGTGGACATTGCTATAAACATTGAAGTACTGCATAGGATTCTTGGGAGAATCACATGGTCATCACAGAAAAAGAGGAGCTGCCTGGCAGTAAAAAGGTAGCATTTACTAACCATATACAGTGGACAGCAGTTATCCTTCTGCAGGATGAGGAGGCTCAGAGGGGTGAGTGGCTTCCACAGTGATGGAGTGAATGAGCTCACAGCTAACTTGCCTGAGGTTTCAGGCTTTACCCTGGCAGGTCATGAATGGGGGCCAAGTGGGGGAAGAGGGGAAGGAAGAGGCCAGAACCAGGTTCCGCTGGGATTGCCAGGGGGCCCCTGAACCTGGGGCCCCAGTGTCTCCCACTGGGAAGGGGATCCCAAGAAGGGCCCAGGCTCTGGAAAAGGGCTCCCTCACTCACCTCTGCAACCCCCGGCGTCAGAAGCCTGACTCAATTCAAAGGACCAGATCACCCGGTGGGAGGCCTCCTCGGTGGACTTCCCAGAGACAAAGGAAGACAAAGATATCCCACCAGAAGGCTGGAAGCCATCCACCCACCCAACCTCTCCACGCCTCTAACCTTCTGACCTGGTATCTGCTCACTGATGCTGAAAGCTGAGAGAAAATGAAGCTGTTTGTCCCAAGGCAAGAAAAGAACATGTTTACACCATGATGTCAGTGACCAAGGTAGAGGCCAAGTGAGCAGGGAACTGGGTGGCAGTGCCCAGATGTCATAGGGATGCAGGTGTGGGTCGACCCTGGTGGGGAGAGGCAGGGAGGTGCAGGACTGGAGAGGGGCCTAGAAGGGGGCTCAGAGCATTGAAGGGAGCCGGAGGGAGCAGTAGGAGCCTGGGCACAGGGCAAGGGGAGCCTGGGAAAGGAACCCAGCTGCTGTGGGATGAGGGCAGCAGAGAAAGGCCCACCATCAGAGAGACTCACCCTGTAGCTACAGACTCTCCCAGAGCATGAGCCACAACCTGAGCCCCCATCCTGTCTCACCAGCAATCCTGCCCAGTCCCTAGGCCCCTGTTAAGTCCCCATCCAGGTGCAGGGGGTCTCTCTGGGGAGGGGGCTAGCCGCCAGGTCTGCACCCAAGCTTCGAGGGCCATGGCCAGGGTCTCGGCTGGTTTGTGGCTTGGGTCAGGGCTGAGCGACAGCGACCTAGGCCTGCTTCTGCCCCACGCTTCATATCCCAAACCCCACTCCCCATCTCTCTACCCCTCTGAGTTGTTAGCAGCCAAAAAAGGGCCTGGCCCAGAATCAAGGAGGAATGCCCCCTTCAGTGCTCCCAGGGACAGCCTCCTGGGTCGCTCCCTTTTCTCCACGGTTCCTGAGTCTCCTCCTGGGAGTCCCCCGTTGATACTCCTATGGGGATTGTCTTCATCTTGGGCACCTTCAGGCTTCGGTGGTATCCCTTCCAGAGGTGTTGGTGCTTTAGGAGGCTTGCAGAGAGGTCAATGCCCAAAGGAGACTGGCAGCACCAAGGGTGGGATCCCAGGCATCTGCAGGCGAGCGTTGGTGGGTGAGGAGTACCTGACATACTGTGAGCCATGCGTGCCCGGAGAAGTCAGCCCCTACCTGAGGGCCCCCGGGGCCTGCTCCCCACCACCACACCCCTGCTCATCCCCAAAAGAAAAGGAGAAGAGAACTCAACTTCTTGAGGATTTATTGGGCCGGGGGCTGTCCTGCCTTCCAGCCAGGCCGGAGCAGGTCTGGCACCAGGACTGGGCTAGCTGGACAATCAGTCCTCAGGGTGCCCGCAACTACATTTCTCCGGCATTTCTCCGAGCGTCTGCTGCTTCTCAGCCCAGCCACACTGCCATGGCGCCAAGCCACTGGGGCTCCTGGGGCTCCTGGGGCTCCAGCTTGCGAAGTGATCTTGGCTATATTCCTTGCCCTATCTGGGCTTCTGTATTCTCCATGGGAGGATGTTACTTTCTTGTCAAAAGACAGGTCCACTCCCCCTCAGTATCACGGATTCCATGGAAGCAGATGGGGTTCAGGTCTCCCTTTCTGTGAGTCACAGCAGCTGCCATTCTTTGAGGCCTTTGTCTCTCAATTTCCATCTGGCTCAAACATACTCAGATGCCAGGGCCTCAGACAGCAGGGAGCCAGGCATCCACATCCCCTGGCAGGAGGAAGAAGTTGGACCAGAGCAGGGAGTGGGCCAAACCACAGGCCAAGTACCAGGGTAGGGTCAGGAGGAGCTGGGCTTCTCCACTGAGGGGTAGAGCTTGCGCAGGCTGGAGTCCAGGAGGAAGTCCACTGACCTGTGGGGTGGTGGACAGTGATGAGCAAGTGACCCCTGGGAGGAAGGGAAAGGGGGGTAGGAGATCAGGGCTAGGAAAGGGACTCCTAGATGCAGGACACAAGTGCCATCCACGTGGCAGACATCACCCTTTTCTTTATTCAGTTGGGGAAACGGAGGCACAAGGAGGGTAAAAGCCTCACTTCGGGCCTTTGGGTCAGCTGTGTTCCCTTGGGAAAGGACTGCTCCTCCCACTCTCTGTTGGTTTGATTGAGTTGGCCCCATTCTCTGGGTCTAAAAGCAGGCACATGACCCAAGTGTGGCCAATCAGAAAAGAGAAATTGGCTCAGGGGTAGGCACTCAGTCCAGAATTGACCAATGACAACCTTCCTTGGGATTTTTTTGGTCAACTATGAGAAGCTTCCTATGGGGCTTGCTAAGCTGGTGGGAAGGAACCTAGGAGCTGCTGGAGGCCATCTCAGCTCCTAGGTGGGGAAAGTGAGTGAAGCCAACATGGGGTGGTGTGGGAAAAAGGGCACCAGGATAGGGAGACCAAGACCCCTAATGACACCATTTGGGTGCCTCAATCCAGCCATGCCTGAAAGCAGCATAACTCTGGACTTTTCAGTTTCATGAAACAATTCATTCTTGTTTTACTTAACCCAGTCTCCGTCAGGCTTTTGTCACCAAAATCTCCCCAAATCCATCCCCTCCGATGTACACCTGTTCCTGCCTGCCTCAGGTTGTTCTGTAACACTAGGTTTTCTTTCTAGAATTTATTGGTCCTGTGTCCCATACCCTCAAGGCACCACCCATACCTTTACTGCCAAAGTACTTGCCAGAACACAGGCACAGACTGTCCTTTCTGTCTCAGAGCCCTGACTACCAGCCCTGCCCCCGCTGCTATTGTTCTATGCCAAGTGGGGACACCCCACGTCTCTCGGAGCTTCTCACCACCTACAGAGTGGATGATCCCTGAGGCTGGAAGGGGCACCCACCTGTCAATGGGGTGGACGATGACAGGGATGACCAGAAGCCCCAGTGCAGTGGTGGTCCACTTGCGGATGGACAGAGGCCAGCGCGTGGCCGTGCCCAGGATGTAGAGAGAGGCAGCACACACACGGTTGATAGTGAAGCCTGGGATAGCCACAGAAGCCAGAGCCTGCCACACGAAAGTGTCCACCACAGCCACGGTCACCCTGGTGCTGCGGCCTGCTTCGGAGCTCGGTATCTGGCAGGGACAAGAGATAATTAACCCAGCAGGGGCAGAGGTAGGAAACCCTGTGGACGAGGGGCATGAGGCTGGAGCAGGGGAGGGAAGTGGCCAGTGGGGGGTGGGGGTGGGGGTGGGGACAGAACCACACTACTGTCAGGTTCTGGACTGTACCAGTTCAGGGCTGAGGGTGGACTCATTCACATCCAGAACTGTAGGGTACAGGCTAGGTCACATGCAGGGCTGGGGGCAGGGGGCGCTACCCTACAAACAGGATTGCAACAGGCAAGGTTGTTGGGATTGGACTGTCGCACCAGGGATTTTACCACATGCAGGCTGCGGACGGAATCACAAAGGGAGTGGACTAGGGTAGGGGGTTAAGGGACAAGCCAACACTCACAGCTCCCGCCTTCTTGCCCTTGTCAATGGCATCGGCCAGCACGTAGGAGCTGGACACACCATAGCTCAGCCACACCACGGCTGCTGGCACCAGGGAGCGGAATGCCTCTCCCACCTCATTGGCATAGCCTGTTGGGGAGGAGACATTTAATTTCGATGGTGGGGGGCGGCTGAGTTGCTCAGTCCATTAAGCATCTGACTCTTGATTTTGGCTTAGGTCATGATCTCAGGGTTATGAGATCGAGCCCCGAGATGGGCTCTGTGCTGTGCGTGGGGCCTGCTTAAGATTCTCTCCTTCTCCCTCAGCCCCTTCTCTCTGTCTCTCTAAAAAAAGAAAAAGAATAATAATAATAATTCCAGTGCTGGGGACGGTTTGCTCCACAAGGGGGCACTAGTCCTAATCCCCTCCTGCTAAATAGTAGCTGGGTGACTTTAGATAAGTGGTTTTATTTCTCTGAGCTTCCGTTTCCCAGTCTATAAAAAGGCAAACATGATTTCCACCTCGACTCTAGGGCGACTGTGGGAGAGCCGAGTACGGTCACAATTATCATTCCCTTGCCGTCCCAGTCTAGGTTCTAGAAGCATGGGCACTAATGCAGAGACTAAGAGCAGGTCGGCTGATGAGGCAGGCACTCACCATGTGCCAGGTCTTTCCTATGCCTTATTTCATTCTACCCTTCCAACTACCACCCCATGAGAGAGACAGTGTTCATCTCTATATGCCGAGCAGAAAACCGAGTGTCAAACAGAGCCAGTATGAGGGTCCAGATACCGACTCCATAGCCAGGGCCCAGACATATCCGAGAGGGCAGCCCCGCTCACCCCGTTTCTCCCAGCCCGGTTGGAGCCTACACCTGGGAGACTGACCAGCACAGACCCCGAGGGCAGGGCTGAGCCGACCTGAGCTGTGTGACCTTGGGCAAGTCCCGAGCCCTCGCTGAGCCGTCTCTGGCCCATGCAGAATGAGAACTATGATCCTTCCACCTTCTCCAGGGCCCTGACCGGCGTCTGGCGACCCCTGCCTCTCCAGCCACATGGTGGGGGAGTCGCCGTGCCCCTCGCCCCCCACTCACCTAGGTACCGCACCCACGTGTCCCGGAAAAGGTCGCGCTCCGCATCCCGCGGGGGTGGCTCGGACATGGCGCTTCCGCCTCGGCAGGAGCCACTGCAGCGGGTCCTGCTGCCGTTACCACCTCAGCTTCCACCACCGCTCAAATCGGCCGCGGCGAGACCGGCTGAAGGTCCCGGGCTGAAGGACAGGTCGTGTGGTCCCCGCCAGCAGGGAGCGTCTGCAAATTACCCCGCGCACCGAAGCCCCTCTCCCAGGCTTGGGTTTTACAGATTAATATTCTTGACGTTTTCTCCGGGGTGGAGTGGTTAGAGCAATCCTTTCCCACGACTGACTGTAGTTTTGGAGCCAAAGAGACTGGGGTTCAAATGCGGCATGCTACACTTCCTAGTTACACTTTATAGCTGTGTGACCTCAGGCAAGAGACTGTACTCTGAGCTTCATTTTATTAATCTATTAAATGGGGAACACAGTGTTCATTCCTGGGACAGTTGCAAAGATTAATTATAAGAAATCATTTATTAAGTTTATTGCTTGCCAGACCATTGGCTAAAGACTCTAGACAGATTACTTCCTTAAAGCCTCCTGGGACCCCTATTTTACAGATGAGAAAACAGAGGCACGCACATACACAAAAAGTCACTTTCCCAGGTCATCCAGCGAAGTGGTGAGGCAGGCATTTGAATCCAGGCCGCGGCTCCAGGTCCCGCGCTCTTAAACTGAGCTGAGTTAATGAGGCTGGGGGGTGAACAGTGAGCACCCTGGTGAGGTGGATATTTGGACTCGAGTGCCTTCCTGCCAGATGCCCTGTTCATATATATATCAAGCTCTGAGGTCTAACTGGATCGGCATAACCCCTAGACCAAGATTCTTTGGGGGCAGGACCTAGAATGGATGAATGAATGAATGGATGAATGAACGAATGAACGAACGAATGAACGAGGCAAGGGAAACAAGACGTCAGGAAAGTTAGAAAAGAATGAGTGGTCTTGGGTGGTAGTGATTACTAAGAAACCCTTCCCCAGCTGGACCTCAGTTTACTCACGTGAGCGATGAGTGCACTTCGCTAAAGCTGAGAATCCTTTGGATTTTGGAGGTATCAGGCTGCGAAGAGGCAGCCATTAAAGACAGGTGGTTCTGGGTTCAAATCCCAAGTTGTGCCACCTATTAGCTACGTCTGTAAAACCTACTAGTAGCCCGTATTTACTGAGCGCTCACTTGTTAAAGCTCTCTTCTAAGTGCTTTGCACGTATTATTTCTTTGAAACTCTGCAACAACCCAGGGCCGTAAGCACAGGGTTGTTGCGTGGTACCCAGTAGGCGCTCATTCATTCATTCATTCATTCATTCATTTATTATTTATTTACTATTTTTTAAGGCGCTCATTTTAAAGAATTAGCTTTTTTATTATCATCAAATAAAGATGGAGGAAATAAAGGCCGTTGGCTCAGCCCTGGGCGTCTCTGTCATTCTATGGTCGTGTAGGGCAGCCGGGTCAGCGGTGACCTTTCGGGAAGCTGGGCTCGGGACCAAAAGCGCTCTCTAGCTCCGGAAACACCAGTAGTGCTGGCGCAGAATTAAGAGACGGTCCCTAGCACCACGTGAGCGTCGCTCGTCCGCTTCCCTCCCACTCTGTGCCCACCGCAGGCGTTGCACGTTCTCCCCGGACGCGCACATATCAGCGCGCTAGAACCTTCCCGCACGTATCCAGAAAGCGAGTGGGGCGGGGCCTCCGCCCAGACCTTGAAGGCGGCCCGGAGGCCCCTTGGTGCCCTTAACAAAGATGGCGGAAGACAGCCCATCGGCTGAGCCAATCGGGAAGCAAGCTGGCCGTTGGGCCCCATGGGAAAGCGCGCTAGAGGGGAGCAGCGGGTGGCTTCTGCGCACGCGCCCCACCTATGGGCGACTAGGTGGTGTTCCTGAGACGTAAATTTTGTCATTCTGAGTGAGGGGCAGCGAGGAGCGAGGCGGTGGGCATTGACTTCCACTCCCTGTGCACTGAACGTTGCTTTATTCATTGGTTAATTTTCCTAACAGAGCGCTGTAAACCAAGGTTGGGATGATCCCTCCTAAGCGGTGTGGCTGGTGCCGGCGCAGCCTCAGGCTGCGCTCGCCAGCGCCAGCCTTGCCCCTTCTCCTTCCTCAGCCTCCCCAGACCGTCTCCCCACGCTGGGCCAGGGGGCCTGGCTCTCGGAGGGAAAGGAGTTCCTGCGAGGGCCCGGGGGAGGGGCGGGGGGCGCTTTCCAGTGTTCGTTTGCGGGGCGTGGCGTTGGGTTACGGGCTGTGGTTGCCCGCAGGGTCCGTGCCCTGCAGTCCGTGGTCGCTGAGCGCCCCCTTGGCCATCCCTGCTTGTCACTGTGGACGGCGAGGCTGGGGGCCTGCGAGGCTATTCGTGGCTGCCCCCAGATGCAGGCCCGGCCTTTGGCCTCCTGCCCGGGCAGCCTCCCCGCCAGACACCAGGAACCCAGTGCACCAGCCATACGCCTCCCACAGAGATGGGACTGCCAAAGCCTTGCTGAGGTCAGTCAGGAAGCGGGCTGGCCGGCACCGTGGGAGACTCAGACTGGGAAGGTCTTCACTGAGATCTACTGTCTTGATCCCCCACTTGTCATTTTTGTGTGGGGTTCTCAAATGGAGAGTTACTTGATGAGAGGCTGACAGCACTGAAAAGGGGGAGGGGGGTTGGAAGCCTCAGGATTCACTCCCACCCTTAGCGTCCTGGGCCCATCCTGGAGCTGGGATCCCTGGAGGTAATTTCTCTGTGCTTTGCGTTGGAGGACAGTGGCTCGGTACCAAATCTCTGTCCTGAGAAGCTCTGAGTCACTGACAATCAGTAATTAAAGAGACAGCCAGTGGGTCCCAAGAGTTGCATAAGTCTTGAGGTGGCCTCCCTGTCTACCCCTGAGTGGGAAGAGCTATACTGACTCAGGCCATCCCTGAAACCTGGTGGGAAAAGCCAAAAGGTCCCAGCCTTGGAGATAGAAAGTTTAGAAGAGACTTTGACCCCCACCATAACTCTAGCAACCTGCTACCTTGCTACTCCTCATAATGATCTAGACTTAACATTTTCATTTGGGAGCAAGTTCCCTACAGCTGGCTTCCCTGAAGTGTTAGGTCTCAATCTCTCCCCACTTTTCTAATTTCTGCCCTGCTGCCACCTGCATCTTCCCCCCCCCCCATCCCTTCCTGTCTCAGCTCTCACTGGACAGGTGAAGTTGGCACAGCTTATAGGATGGTAGATCCTATCATGGTGCCCAGCCCCTGGGGACTCCTGAGTAATTTGAGAGGCAAGGAGACCCTCTCCTGCTGCTCCCCCTCTTCCTAATTCTGAAATGAAAGTTCCCCAAATCCAGCCCAAGTTCTTTCTTGTAGCCCAGCTTTTTTGGGCATCTGGGTACTGGGAAAACGACTGTTACAAGGGACAGAAACCGACAGGGAGACACTGGGAGCCACGCCTGCTGTGGGAAGGCATTACTTTGGGGTGACTGCCCCCAGCTGTTTCATCTTCTCTTCTGAGGCTTTGTCTGGAAGCAGGACCTCCACAGTGAAACTGACCTTCTTGGCATGAATGAAGCTGTAGGTGTTATCAAACCGCAGGACATCTGAGGGGAGGCAGAAAAACAGACATTCAGGCAATTCTAACAAAGGACAGCGATTTTTGTTGTCTGAACAGGCAGTGTGGTACGTAATGAGGACAAAGGTGGCATAAGGAGTGGTCCCTCACCTTCTGAAACTTAAGCTGGGCTGACACAATATTCACAGAGAGAAAGAAACGTAAGACAGAACATGCCGAGTGCTCGATGAGTGAGACAACCACATCTGTCACAGCTTACAAGGAGAGGGTCCTATAGACTGACATCATGTAAAAGGCTTTTGAGAGGAGTTACAGCTTGAACTGGTGGGGCAGAATCAGTAGGAGCAGTTGTCACAGTAATAATAGTAATGGTAACAATGGCTACCTAGGTGTCTCAGCCCTGGGTTGGTAATCTATATATACTATTATATTATTGCTCAAAATAACTCTATGAGTTCAGCATTAGTCCTGCTTTATAGCGTATAAAAAGGAGGTCACTGTGTCACATGGTGAGGAAGTGATGGAGCTGGAATTTCCCTCTGACCTGCATTGCTGCCTGACTTGGGCCCTGGGAAGACAAGCCCCGTTCAGTTTCTGGCGAAGGCAAAATATACAGAGTTGTTGAACCAGGAAAGTATCCCATAGAAAGATAAATGGACAAAGATGCGCACTGCACCCCTGTTTGTAATCATAAAAGATTAGGAAAACTCAAAATGGGCATGGAGTTGGCAGAGATGGCTTTGAAGCCTTGGCCAAGGAACAGACTGCTTTTAATCTAACCCCTTTCTTTTTGAGAAGTTGTTCCCTTTCAGTCGAACAGCCCTTCAAGAGAACAGAGTGTGAGAACAAAAACACTGGCTCTGCCCTTTCTCTATCCTGGTCTTCTCTCACTTTTCCCAGGGAGAAAAAAAAAAAAAATTAAAACAAGCCAAAAAAAACCCCCAAACAAACCAAACAGTGTATTTATTCCTGAGATTTCACCTCTCCCCTTTCCTGCCCCTAGATAAAATGCATAGTTTAGACATTGGGTAGATCCACCACCCACACTTTCTTCAGGGTGGGAAGTATTACTCATCAATTTTCTCTGTACCAGAGGTCGTTCAGAACCAATAGTCCCTCTGGAAAGAGGGACACTTCCTCACTGCCCTGCACGACAGAGCCCCAGCAACCAGAATCGGTCATGCTGGAGGAGAGGTCTGAGCTCCTTGGATCAAGCACCACCACCGAGATGGCTCTGCTTTGCATAGTCTGCCCTCAGAAACAAGGAAGGGGCTGTTCAGAGGTCCAGGCCCAAAGGAAGTGGAGTTCATGAACTGCATGGTTCATTTTGACACTAATCATGTACTGACAGACCTGTAGAGCCCCCCCCCCCCCCGGGGATCCTCCAGACTAGGGCTCCTCCACTTTTGTTGGGAACTGACTCCCTTGACAATCTGATGAACGCACACAACTTCAGATCTTCTGGAGCCCATCACGGACCCTTGGCGGCACATGGGTGTGATCGTCCCCTCTCATTAATATATGGAAACAAATACATATTCTAAATTAGCTTCCTTCTATTTCTCCTGATGGGAGATTAAGTGCTTTTTAAATTATGTGTTTAGGTGGGTTATATTACCCATGAATTTCATTTCAGAATTGTAAAGGGGATATTAGACACTGTATGTTATAAAAGAGAGGTGTTTGGTCTTTAAGATTTAGTCACTGCTCTGGGGAGTCCACAAACCCCAGATTAAGCTCTCCTGCTCAAGAAGTGCCTGGCTGGCTCAGTCGGTAGAGTGTGTGACTCTTAATCTCAGGGTTGTGAGTTCAAGCCCCACATTGGGCATGGAGCCTACTTAAATAAGTACATAAATAAAAAGACCTCCTGCTGTAGCCCATTCTCCTCATTTTAAGGAGAAGGAAATCAAAAGGTAGTTATTTAGAGACACTTGCTCAAAATACTTGGGAGAGTTGGTGGCACAGCTGCACTCAGAAACCAGGCCTCCTGGAGCCTGGCTGGGCTCCGGAGCACTGCCTGGCAGTAGTGTGGAGCCTTCATCCAGTGTTTTGGGTCTTCTAGACCACCTTATGCACTCCTGGTGGACAAAGTCCAGATCTCTTCTGCTGAATCTTCTTTCCTAATAGAGTATTCTACACTCAGGCCCTCCAGGAATATTAATCGAGAGAAAATGAGTGAAACTAATTCAGACTTTGTCTCTCCTTTTCCCTACTTAAGCACACTTGGGCAAGGACCAGAATGGCCTGGGGAGGATTCATGTGCTCTCGCCATTGGAGGCTGGGATGGAGTTTTAATTTCTCCACTGGGAGATTACGTTCCACTTTGCAGGGAGCCGCCTGGTTCTTCAAGGGCACTGCCCTCCCACAGGTGAGCTTGTAACCTAACACTAGATCAGGTCTAACCTGAGCCATGGCTCCAGGCAATAGCTGATCCCACCTCATTGTTTTTACCCCTGGGAAGGGGACGTGGGTGCTGTGACCTGCCTCTAATCCTCCTTGGAATGGACAAGAAGCAGCTCCCAAAGCTCCGCAGGCAGATAAGTGTTCCATCTGGGAATGTAACCAAGAAGGGCTAAAATAAATTTGGGGTTTGCAAACCTAAGTCTGGTTATGTTGTAAGGTTCCCAGTCCTTTCTCAGGCTGCGTCCTTCAGATACCGTAGACGGGCAGTGCTGGAAAATGGGTTTGGGCATTGCTGCTGGCTACATGATCTCGGGTAAATTACTTCCCTGGTCTCGGACTCCACTCTCGCCTCTGTCACATCGGGAACAGACCTGCTCATCTCTAGGATAGGCAATGGCCTAGAGATCTGGACCAGGACTCTAGGATTCCCTCACGTCTTCTGTCTTTTTTTTTTTTTTTTAAGATTTTATTTATTTATTTGAGACAGAGAGAATGAGAGACAGAGAGCATGAGAGGGAGGAGGGTCAGAGGGAGAAGCAGACTCCCTGCCGAGCAGGGAGCCCGATGCGGGACTCGATCCCGGGACTCCAGAATCATGACCTGAGCCGAAGGCAGTCGCTTAACCAACTGAGCCACTCAGGCGCCCACGTCTTCTGTCTTTTGGTGTGTACACAAGCTACTTTGTGGGAAAGATACCGTCCCTTCTCCATACCTCAGCTTCCCTGTCCATTAAAAAAAAAAAATCAAGCTTAGGGGCATCTGGGTGGCTCAGTCAATTAAACATCTGCCTTCAGCTCAGGTCATGATCCTGGGATCCTGGGATTGAGCCCCGTGTCAGGCTCCCAGCTCGGCGGTGAATTTACTTGTCCCTCTCCCTCTGCCTCTCCCCACACCAACCCCTGCTTGTGCTTTCGCTCCCCGCCCCCTCTCAAATAAATAAATAAAAATCTTCAAAAAAAATTCAAGCTTCTATACAAAATATGCTCTGTGGATAATAGTATCTGGGCTGGTGTGCTAGGCCTTGTTCTTACTGAAGCATACATTAATATGCCTTCTCCTCCAAGGACCTGGCTGCTTGCTCACTAACAAGAATACTCCTCCCCAGGGAGCCATATCACAGAGCATCTATGAGGAAGGGTCGGTCGAGACCGAAGGTTGCCTGGCAGGTGGGGAAGTACACAGCAGTGGAGGTTGGGGTGATGGTGTAAGACATCTGGGGGCTAGCTCCGATATCTCCTGGTGATGCTGCCCTAGAAATGGGGCACAGGGCTTCTCCCATCTCCAGCACCATCTCCAGGATGGTCCTTCTCCTCGCACAGGTCTTGCCCTAATGACAATGGTGTCTAGTGTGTTGAGTGCTTGTTGTACCCCAGGCATTATGCTAAGTGCTGCCCATTTAATCATCATGTATCCCCATGAGGTAGAGAATTTGATCCCCATTGTAGCAATCAGGAAACTGAAGTGCGGAGAGGCTAAGTCACTTGCCTAAGGACTAGTCAGTAGGCAAATCCAAGTCAGCTCGATGATAAAGCCCTTGCTCTCATTCATTTTCCATGTCTGGCACATTGGCTCTGATAGAAAGGAAACTGGAGATTTGAAGGGCTTTTTGTGTGTGTGTATGTGGTTTTTCTGCTTACAAATGTAGTACATGGTCATTGTAAAATAACCTAGTTGCAGAACTAGTGTAAAAAAATAAAGCCCTCTAGAAGCTTCCTACCATCCCAGAGATAACCACCCTCACAGTTAGCATACATTCCTCAGAATTCTTTTCAACGTATATACTTTAAAAAAACAAAAACAAAAACAAAGAGAGAGTATACTATATGCTATGTTTCATTCTTTGTTTTTTTAACATGTATTAGACACTTTACATGTCAGTTTTTCTCTCGAATGGGTATAATGTATTCCATGTACACATGGACCATAATTCATTTACATAATTCATTAACAAGACCTTTTTAAGGCCATTTGGTTTATCGCCAGTTGCCCAGGCTGCTAGGAACATCCTTGTACCTATATCTTTGTGTCTTTGTGTAAACATTTCTGTAGGATAAATTTCCAGAAGTAGAATTGCTGAAAGAGAATTTTAATCGATACCGCCAAGTTCAGGAATGTAAAACACTTTCAAATGCCTGTTTGCCATTCTTATTCCTCCTGGCTAAACTTCCTGTTCATGTCCTGTACTTGGGTTTTGATCAAGGTGGAGATAAGTGAAGCTCAGAGGGGTCAGGACTGGGCTTTTCAGCATTCTGCTCACCCTGGGATCCCTGCACCCACCCAGGTAGTTCTGCCTCTAGGAGCATTCCCCAGAGATGTCTGGTCATAGTCACAGATCCAGTTAAACTTGGACCAGAGAGCAGGTGTTCTGAACCCTTGTGATCACCTAGCACCATGATTCACCTCGACCTGGAAGTATCAGGTCAGAGTCCCGCCCTGCTGCTAACCAGCTGGGCCCCGTGGTCATTTCACCTCTCCAAGCCTAGGTTCGTTCCCTCATCTGTATAAGGAGAGGGTTGAACACATGGAGGCCCATGTCTAAGTCTTGTAGTCTGAGAAAGAGGGACCTCACAGGCAGACAGCTAGGGCAGAGGTGTTAAGCCAGGACAGAGGTACTTACAGATGCCAGGATCAGTGCAGGTGAGGGTCCCATCCTCAGGAACCAGGTGGGCATTGTACCTCTGGTTGGAAAGCACCTCTGTCATCTCCCCTGCCCGCTGCCGCTCCCCCATCTTGGTCTTCAGGAAAATCCCAAAACCGATGTCGGAACCATCTGACATGAACTGCCACCTGCAGGGGACATCCGCCCGTTCAGACCTGATTGTGTCTGTTTGCGTACTCTCTGGGGGTCCTGCCACCAGGGCTTCTCCCACCCCAGCCCGACCACTGGCACCTGTGGCTGAAAGGCAGAGGTGGCCTATCAGGGTCCGGAACACTACCTGAGGACACAGCCAGGGAAGAGGATCTCATACTCCACTTGGTGGGAGGAGCCTCGAGAAATCTGCACACTGTGCTCATACTGCTGTTTCACCTGATCTCGCACATAATACTTCCTGGGAATGTCACCCCCATAGTTAATCTGGAAGCAAAGCACAGAGTGAACTGGAATGTGCATTTCAGCCAGGCTTCCCTGGTGCAATCCCTTGCCCCTCCGGGCCCTGCAGGGGACTACACGGCCCATACCTTGGATTTGCACTTGGGGTTTCCATCAGGATCAGTCATGGTGCCCCCATACTCCACAGGCAGCTGGTCAGGGCTGATATATTTCAGTAAAACCTCCTTCCAGTTTGCTGGCAGCAGAAGGAAGGAAGGAGAAAAAAAAGGATCACCACAAGGCAGGATTGCTTCACTGCCCTGGTGGTCCACACAAAAGGGGCAGGAAAAACCCGTCTGCCCCACAGCCCAGAAAACTCTAGGAACACATGATGTGCACGCAGCTCGGCAGGGGGTTCAGGAGGAAGCATCACCCAGAGGACTGCCCTTTCGCTGGACTAAGAATTGGAACACCTAGAGTCCTGTGTCCATTGCCTCTGGCCAGTTGAGCAACCTTAAGTAAAGTCACTTCATTTTGAGCCTGGTTCCTCCTGCCCCACACAGCTCCGGTGGGAGTGAGGTGACCTAACTGCTTGAGAGGGTGCTGTAAACTGTTAACTCCGTACATGTATGAGAGTATATGATCACTCCCAGGGAGGTGGTACAAATATCTGGTGTGCAATCAGAGGGAACAGAGAAAAGAGGGAAGGGCATCCCACGCGGAGGGAACAGCATGTGAGGCAAGCAAGAGGGCCTGAGTCAACCTGATCTGTCCTGGTTCAACTGAATTCCAGGAGGGTCCGACCACGTGTCTCATCCCCTGCTTTCACCTACACGTATTCATGCTCAATCGTGACTTACCGACTGCACCACAGTCGAGTAGCCCCTTAAACAGGGCTCCCTTGGCTTTGCCCCAGCCACGACTTCACTTCTGCTCTGTTTTTCAGGCTGTCTAGCTGCTGGTGACTCGGCTCTTTTTTTTTTAAACAACCAAGCCCTTTCCTGACTAGGAGAGTTTGACTCTGGTGCAACCAATGCTGAGAACCACGTCACCACTCCGAATTCCTAAACTAGTATCAGCCAAGCACAATATTTTGATACTGGAAACCTTGCCGTGCCAACTCTATAGCTGAAAATAGGCAGCATCTCCAAGTCATGGGGTACGACCCAGGGTCGTCTGCTGCTGAGGCTGGCTGGAAGCCCACAGGGGCCGCCCAGGGTCTCCCAGCCCTCCGATTTCTAGGGTCCTGAGACCATACAATTCCTGGAACACAGTGTCTGTGCTCTTGGGCGGGGGTATAATCTGTGCTTCCTAAGCTCCCCTGACCTGCGCAGAGTGAACGTCTTCCCTCCTCTGTTGAAGACCCGGTAGCTTCTGAGCCTGAGGCGGGTTTGGTTGAAAGGGTTGCAGGTGTGGGCGGGGAGAACAGCCTGCACCTCCTCCATAGTTCTGCTGCCAGGAAACCCAACCGGCTCATGCTCACGGTGGGCGGTAGCAGGAGCAAAGCCAAAAATCATCAGAGCCTTTTGCTCAGATTTTTTATTTCTTCCCCCAGCTCAGCTGGAGGGTTGGAACAAGGCCAGAGGGGCCCTTCCCATCTTACAGAGAGAGTAACTGAGGCAACAGGAAGCCAAACTTGTTGCTGCCAGAGTCAGGACCAGAACCCAGAAGTTCTGAACTTTCCAGAATGCTTCACGCCACTCCCAGGGCTCACCACTGCACATCGGGAAGATCTCCACTTTCCCTGTGTCGCCTAATGGTGAACATTCAGGAACCTTCAGAATCCCTATTACCTACCCCCAAGCTCAACTCCATAGGTGGCACCAGGCCTGACATGAGGCGGTCCCAGTCTACCTTTCTGGCCTTTTCTTCCCACCGACTCCACTTAATGATCCGGCAAAACTCAGCTCCTCTCTGTCCCTGGTTGGCTTGATTCCTGCGAATCTTCCTTGCTGGCTTCTCCTTGTGCCTTGATGTCCTCCCAGCTCCCCTGCATATCCAATCCCTGTCGAGTGTGGCCCTGCCAAGCTCAACACTTCTTGCTCTGCCTGCCCTTGAACTCAGATAGTCAACCCCAGGGTTTGGCCTCTGCTCTTCCATGGGCAGTGTTTACTCTCAAGATTTTAGCTGCTGCCTATAATTGAGAATTCCCGAATTTCCAAACCGGAGTCCTCTCCTCAGCTTCAGGCTCATGTACCCTTAACATCTGTACATCTCACAGACTCCCCAAACTCAACATCAAGGTTATGTCCCCCAGCTGAACTAATCGCCCCAGATTCATTGCAATACTCCGTTACTCATGCTAGACACCAGAAAGTCATTCTGGATTTCTCTTCCTCCCTTCCTACGCCCAGTGGATGGCGTTCTGCTGTTTTACTTCCTAAGTAAGTCCCAAATCCCTCCTTTCCTCTCTATCTCTACCGCCATGGCCCCAGCTCGGGCTTGCAACAGCTCTTGCATGGACTGCGGCCACAGTGTACAGACTGGTACCTGTCCTTTGCAAGCTTGCCAGTCAAACGTGTCTCCGTTTAAAGTCTGAGCCGGGTCCTCCCCCCGCTCAGAACTCTTCTTGGGTTCCCAACAGCCCACGGAGCTGTGTCCCAGCTTCTCAGCACAGTGCCCTGGATTCTCCATGCCCTGGCTCCCAGCTGCATCTCCAGCCGCACCTCACCTCTCACCACACCCTGGCCCTGCCGCGCTCTCTCCGACTGCCTGAGCCGCGGTGCCTAAGGCTTCGCTCAGTGCTATTCTTTCTGCCCAGCGGCTTCCTGCCTGGCTTCATCTGGCTGCCTCTTACTCATGCTACAGCGCTTGGCTGAGGCCGGCATCCGCTCCCGCGTGGGTCGGGAGGGCTGAGTGCCCCCGCTCTGTGTTCCCACCCATTTCTTGATTTCCTTCTTTTACATTTAACATATGGGGCTGCTGCACATCTGTTTGCAGCTCCCCTTCCCCACGAGGGCCAGGAGCTCCTCAGGGGACTCTGTCTGATGCATCTTTGTCACCTAGTCCAGGGTTGGCCCACGGTAGGTATGCATCAAAGGAAGCCCCTCCTAGTTGCTCCTAACTAGAAGCAACCTCACGGCTCCTGTGGCCTCCGTGGTGCTTTGCCTCTGCTCTTTCCCATACCTTTTCTAGCCTGTATCCGTTGCTTTCTCTCTCAAGACCTCTCTCCTGTTACACTGTCAGCTCCCTGAGGACAAGACTGGTGTTTCGTTCATCTTTGCATCTACAGTGCTGAGCTCAGTACTTTCTTCTAGAGTGTCTGAGAGGAAGAGTCCTTGTGAAAACAGAGAGGAAGACCCTAGCCCGGCCCCCACTTGCTCCAGGATCCCACTGCTACCAAACCAGCAGAGGAAGCCTTCGCCCTAGACACTTCTAAAGCTATCCCCAATTTGGGCCACAGACCAGCTGGTGGTGCTGAGAAGAGTCTGGGCTACTCACCCCCCAGGACCATGATCTTCTTGCGCGTGTCCTCACTCAGGAAGGGTTTGATGAGGTTATAGGCCACAGGAAACAGCTTGGGGGCTGGAACAGAGACCAGGCGATGTGAGACCGGGAGCAAGGCCCACTATGTCCCTGACAGTGTCCTCCCCAGCCCCATGTCAGGTCACAGGTTCCCCAGTGCTGTGGAGCCCACACAGGCAGCCCAGGGTATGAGGCTTGACATGGGTACCTGTCTGACTTCCAGCTTCCCTGTCTGGACAGCGAGCGAGTCTAGCCTTCCTATGTCACCGGTCTGAGTGGTGCCAAGGAGGCAATAAACCCTAAAAGGTTTGTAAATTGCAAATTGGTCTGCCTATGTCAGAGGTCCTTGGGTCCCCTCCTCTGGCTCACCCCGTTCTACTCCCCCGAGTCTGTCCCAGGAACATCGTTGGCCCCTCTTTCCCATCTGACTTCATCGCAGATAGTTCCCAACTTACCTTTAACAATGAAAAGACGCTTCAGCGTTTCAGGGTAGTTTTCCTCGAACATGCAGAGAAACTATGGAAACAAAATTACTGAGTCCAGTGGGCTCAGACCTCTGTACCAGGGAGGCAGGCCCTGCCTCCTCCAGGCCAGACTCAGCCTCCACTGCCTCACCCACAGGGCCTCCTAGCAGAGAGGCCCACTCCCACTTTCTCTCCTCTTCCCACTCCCCTCCCAGCCCTGCCCCTCACCTCCCCATAGGCCTCCACCGCAGGCTTCCAGAGATGCTTGAGGCCAAGCCCCTCGCAGTCATAAATCAGGGTGACGGTCTCCACCTTCTTCCCCACCTGCAGGGGACAGAGGAGCAGAAAGTCACAGTAGGCTGCCACACCAGAAGCCTACCCCAGTCCAGGGCAAGAAGCTGATGTGCTCATGTGCCCATATGGCGAACAGGTCTGGGCAGGGCCATATCTAGGGTTTTCCAAATTGAGATAAGCACCCCAGGCCAGAATTATGGCCTAGGCTAGTCACTCTTCCTGCCTAGGTGTCCCTGTTCTCATCCAGTAAACAACTGGGTAGATCTAGATTATATCTAAGGTCCCTTCTGTTCTGCAGTCTGACCTGGTGGCCTCCCGATTCCTCTGTGCGCAGTGCCTGGTAGCGTTCCGTCCGTGGGGCCTCGTGGGGCCACTGATCTGGTACATGGGCCCAGAGCCTCCCCGGCCACCCTAACCCCTGAAGGGTGCCCATCTAATGCTTCTCGGCATCCGCGGCCTATAGGGTCTCTGCACATACTAGGCCCTCAGTGAATGTTCGTGAATAACAGTGTTAAAATGTCCCCAAATCTATGACATCATTTCGCTGGATCCTTACACAGGCTAAAGAGGAAGGCAGGAGAGAAGAGCAGGGTGGCTCCAGCACTCTCCTTAGCCTTTTTCTCAGAGAGGGAATCACCTGTCCTACTCGTTTTTTCTGAATACAGAGCTAGCAAAGCACAGACTCTCAGCTCATCCACACCAGTGGTACCCAAATACTTGCTCAAGGAGAGGCTGGTCCACGACAAAGATCTTACCAGTGCCCAGATGAACGAGAAAAGCAATGATACCGTAGTATGTTACTTACGAAACTAAATTTCTTCGATTTAAAGGACTGCCCTTTATTCCGAGACTATGCCGTTCCTATAGTTTTGGGAGTTAATTACGGAATTGTAGCCAGTAAATTTTCTTTTTAAGTCCTTACTCGGAGAAAAATAAAAATCTGTCAACATGGGTCAGTCCCTAAAACTTGGAAATTTCACTCGTCCGTGAAATCCAAACGCCTGGGCCTCAGCCCTGAAGCTGTGCTTAAATCCCCGTGTGATACGGCTGCTTCTGCTGGAACGCGTCCACGGCGGTGAGCTCATTCTCAACCGTGCTAAGCCCACTCGCCTTTTCGGTCTGGCGGACACACTCCTGCAGGAGCCGCTCACAGTCCCGCATCTTGGTCTTGAGCAAGTCCTGTTTGGTGGCTGAGAGGAGCAGCCCCTTGGCATCCAGAGGTCCAATGACATCGTACCAGATGGGGCAGCCGTCCAGGTCATAGCCACACATGCCCCCTGACAGATACTGCTGGACCACCTGGGGGCAAAGACGCAGAGGGGGCGCCTGGTCAGCAGGCCCGGGGGCGGCCAAGCCTTCCCTGTATCCCGGGGCCTTTCTATGGGTTCATCAGGCTCTCCCTCCACAGCCTTTCCCCCTGGGTGCCAATGGATACCCACTCTGGGAACCATTAGAGCTCACTTGGCATCGTCAGACCTTTCCTTTTGAGGGTCCCAGTCTGACAGACTCAGGACACAGACTGTGGGTGCAACAGACCTAACACAGGGGTGGGGCAAGATCATTTGTCCTCACCTCTGGAGGCTGCCAGCTCGTGATGTTGTCGATGTCCTTTTGCTTTCGGAACTCCACATGCTGCAAACATACAGTCAGGGCTTTTTAAAAAAAAGCGGGGGTGGCAGAACCCCTCATAGGCATCTAGCAATAGGCGACACCGTGTCTCAGGTACATCATGAGAAGGCAATTGGCAGGACTGGAAAAGAGGCACTGCCTGTTTTAGAGATCCGGGCAGAACGGACTGTAATTCTTATCTGGCCCAGAACTAAGAAAACTTTGTCTTTCCAGGGAAGGGGATGCACTTTGTCCCAAAGGGATAAGGCATCAACAGTGGCCAGCTAATACTCAGATATGCCACACGAGCCAGAGGCTGTGATTGGGTGGGCAGGGTGGGCAAAGGAAATCCACGCCCAGTGTGATTCTGATGGGTGGGAACCGAGGCAACAGTGGGAATGGAGCCAAATGGAGCTCACCTTTCGGAGCATGGCCTCAGACTTCTGCAGGTCGAAGTTTCTTGCTGTAACAGGGAAATGTGGTCAGGGTTAGATCAGCGGGCTGGGCGTCCAAGGACAGGGAGATTTCCCTATTCTCATGCTGGGGCTGGTTCTTCTCCACCTTCACCCCAGCTGACTCCCAGATCACCCCACATGCAGAAGCTTAACAGGAGGACTTTCTCTGGGGACTTCTGGAACACCATAGCCCCTGAAGAGCAGGTCAAGGACCAGGGCAGGTGGGTGCAGCCTTGTAACATCGCGGTCAAAAGAATTTTACCCTAGTGGATGCAAGAGGTGAAAGATCTTAATATTCCTCTCAGGGAAAGTGAACCCTGGACCCCCTTATCATTCAGCCTTCCCCCTTTACACAAAGTTAATCTCCTTCACGGTCTAACATCCAGTTCTGAGAACTTGACCTACAGTTCAATGATGAACACAGCTGCCCTGTCATCTGCAGTGGATCTGGCAGGAATCCCAGTAGGATAGAGGGGTTGATGAGCCTCCAGTCAACCTTGCCATATTTTCAAAGGACCCACGCATACCCTAATGGGACACAGAGGGACCTCCTCCTGGGGTTCCTGGAAAGCTTCAGAATTAAAGTCCACCTGGGCCACCTCTCCATTTCATGCTCCAACCCCAAGTCATCCTGCTCAAGCTCGAACACAAAGACCTCACTGCCCCCCAAAAGCCACCTGCTTCCAGGTAATCCGAGCAGTCATTTGCCCTCAGCACTCATTGCTATGCTGAGCAGAGATCCACTGCCAAGACACTCAGAGAGTACGGTCCCTTCCTCAGCCATGTGACAAGCTTTCCAATACGGGTGAATTCCATGCTGCCACCTGCGTCCCCTCGGCTGTCATGTTGCCCATCCATGGATCCTTCCTCTGACCATTCCTCATGGCCTGGTTTCAAGTCCATCCACAGAACTTCCCTTTGGATGTTTTCCAGTCTGCAAGTGCCCGGCTTAAAAAGTGAGCCCTCCAGAACTGAGCACAGCACCAGGTGTTGCCTACTCTTCTCCAATAAAGCCTGAGAACTTTCTTGGCCACAGTCGCACCCTTAACTCAGATGGAGCTTACAGTCAACTGAACCTCCCAAATCCTTTTCAGCTGTGCTGCTGTGAAGCCTCCTTTCCATATGTTGTGAGGTGGTTTTCTGGATCCATCCCTATCAGATTTCCTCTTGTTACAGTCAGCTCACCCCATTTCATCCTTTAAAGAGTTTCCGGGATCCAGACTCTGACCAGTTTTGCCAACTGACCTATGAACTGTCCCTCCCAGCCGTATGTCCTCTGTGGATCTGATTGACATTGAGATCTGCTGACGGCCCTGGGACCTGTGCCAGACAGGCTGCCCTCTGGACTGTCACAGGTCCCTTAATCACTGATCTCTGGGAGTGGCCAAGCACATTCCCTGACTCTGCTATCACGAAATCCACTCCACTGTCCTGCACCCAAAGGGTGCGTCAGGAGATTTGACCAACGCCGGGCCCGTCATTGGTACTGGACGCACATTCGTAGAACCGAACGGCCTTTACTCTTAGGACGTTTCTTCTGATGGAGACCTTTCACGCGCCATCATGGCAGCAAGGGGCAGCTTTTAGAGGAACACAATCTGCGTTTGCATCTCAGCCCTTCCCCTTTCTCCCAGTCTGACCTTGGACGAGATATTGCACATCTCCAACTGAATCACCTAATGATCTAGAAACGCATGAAAGATGCAAAGCAACATGCTCTCACGATGGGGGATCCCAGTTGGTCTGTGAAAGTGGGAAAGCTCCACAGGAACAGGAGTGGTGGTGAAGTGTGAGCCCCCTTCTCTCCGAACGGCTCTCCAGCTCACCCGTATCTGCCAGAGTCCAACACCCAGGGTCTTCTTTGAGGGCCCTCCCTGAGTTGCCACTTGGCCCTGGCAGTACCCGGCCTGGTGCCTCCCCATGCCTGCTGAGTCAGGCCTCTCCAGGGCTCCTATGCCCTGGTCAGGGGCAGATCAAAGCTTGGCTTAGGGCACTGCCAGAGAAGATGACCTAGGAGCAGCTGTCCTGGGTTCTGATTTGATCACTTCCGAGTCCTGGAGAAGGAGGCGACTTAAACCTGCTTTGCCCCCTACCTACCCAACATGCACACAGCTTCTACCACCTCCTGTTTTCATCTGGCCATCAGACCCTCCTTGCTGGGAAGCCCAGAGCTCAGCCCCAGGCAGGCGGAAGCAGTAGAGATTTCTGTGCCTGCTCTCAGCAGAAAACTGAACCCATGTGAGGGAAAGAGCCAAGAGTGTGAGCCCAAGAGAAAGACATTTTGCTAGCATGCACTTTGAAAATGTTTACTTTAGAATCAAAGGTAGAGAGGGAAAAGGTTTCCTTAAAAAAAGAAAGAAAGAAAGAAAAAAGGGCAACAAAAACCCTAATTGAAATTCACAGTAGAGTCTGACCAGGCCTGAGCTCCTGCCCAGGAAATGTGAAGCACAAGTAAAGTACTGAGAGGACACTTCCTCTGTCTGAAGAGGCCGAGCTTGGCTGGGGCTGGGGGGGGGGGGGGGGGGGGTGCAGCTGTGGCTTACTGGAGAGAATGCCGGCCTGGGAGTCTGAGGCCCTAGGTTTCAGCCCCGATTCGGCTTCTCATCAGCTGTGTGCCCTCATGTACGTGCCCTTCCCTCTCTGAGCCTCCGCTGTTTCATCTGGCAAATGAGGATGACGATAACGCTTTGAAATTCTTGCAAAGAGAGGGGTTATCCCAGGACTGGGGTGTCGGGAATGTCTGGGAAACCAACTGCCAGGAGCCTGGGGAGCCTCCTCTCCGATAAAAGCTGTGTAATTGTTCGGCTCTCTGAAACCACAGGTCTTTAACTACCAGCAGCTTCGTGGTGTGTTTGATCATCTTGCAGCCGGCTCTTTAAGGAAGCACAGCCTTCCCACGCGGCCTACCCACCCGCTTCTGGCTACAGCCCTTCACCAAATGCTGGACCAAAATATCCTCCAGCCCTGGACTGACTCCACTGCGCCCCCGTACCGCCCCTCCACCCAATCTGAGTGGGCGGGTGGGGCGGAGTGTCACAACATTTGGGGGGAAAGGGGCAAGGGACACCTCCAGAAGCGCACAGGGCCCCACGTGGCTTTCCCGGCTGCACCTGCCCTGGGGTGCCTACTAGCAGTCCCTCAGAGTGTGCCAGCTCCATTTCTGGGCAGAAGAGAAAAATACATCCCTTCACCTGTCCCAGGACCCCTAGGGGATGTATGTGTGTGTCCGTGTCTATAAATAACTGGACATGATACGTATTTTAATATGTTGGGCTATGATTCCATAACATAACTGAATCTCTGTTAACCTAATGCAGTGGAATTTCCTCTATTATTTCAGTGTCTGGTAATAAAGTTTCTATAAAGAAAAAAAAAGTGTGTCACAGGAACCAGAGAGGGTGGCACATGACTCGAACCACAGGAGAGGAGAAGAGAAAAAAGAAAGGAGAGATTTCATGAGTCAGGGTATGGGGTTGAGCTGGACTCTGACGCTAGTGGGAAGCCGTACCCCTCATTAGCGCATGCAGAGTTCTGTCATGTGACATCTCGCAATAAGCAGGGCACCCTATCTGGTCCTGTTCTACCGGAGGGGAGCCTGAAGCAGATGTGCACCCGTGGCCCACGTGCCACAGCCAGGCCAGGGCAAGCTGGAACTAGAACGTGGGGCTCTGGAGCCGGGTGGTGGCTTGAGGGCAGTCTTGTCAACTGAGGCCAGGCTGAGTGCCCCCCATGCCCTTTGCCCCTCCTGCAAGCTGCCTAAACTGCTGGTCTGTTACCCCAAAAGGCCACAGAGGGGACCAGCCCCTCCCAGGGGCCTGCACTCTGGTTCTCTTTTTTTTAAAAGATTTTTTAAAATTTATTTTTCAACAGAGAGAGAGATAGCGAGAGAGGGAACACAAGCAGGGGGAGTGGGAGAGGGAGAAGCAGGCTCCCCGGCGAGCAGGGAGCCTGATGTGGAGCTCAATCCCAGAACGCTGGGATCATGACCTGAGCAGAAGGCAGACACTTATCGACTGAGCCACCCAGGTGCCCCTGCACTCTGGTTCTAAACTTGGCTCTGCGCTGACTTCCCACGTGGCTGGGTCTTCCTGGGCTTTTCCTCAACCCACTTCCCCAAGCCCATCAGCAGAGTGGATTTATTGAATGGAGGGAAAGTGCACTGGGCTGGGAGTCAGCCCACCAGCTCCAGGCTTCTCTCTGCCTGTGGCTCAGGCGCTGTGTGACCTGGAGCAAGTTACTTCACCTCTCTGAGCCTCAGTGTTGTTATTCCACCCAACAGGAGGGTCAAGGCTATGTAATTGCCCAGGGCCCTTTTGGTTCTAAAGGTTGAATTCTCCAGATTCTCAGATTGCCAGGGGCAGGGTTTCCAAAGGGTGCCATTCTGCTACCCAGAACTAGCCCCTGCCCCAGCCTCCCGCAGCCCCTCTTCCCTCACCTCGGAGCCAGCGCAGGAGAAAATAGTCATCTGGATTCGGCAGGGTGGGCAGCACATCCTGGACATTCTCCCGAAACTGTAGGGAGAGGTAGGAGGGTGAGTGGCAGGTCCCCCCCGACCACCCCCTACCTGGGGCTCTCCACAGGGACTCTGCTGGACCCCTCTTCAACATGGGTCAACTCTGCAGACACTGGCTGAGCACGTGGGCTGCGTAGTGCACTCTGTCGCCTCAGTGGACAGCAAGGAGGAGGCAGGAAGGGAGTAACACTTGCACACTCCAGTGTGGCGGGCGGCCATAGGAGATCCCAGCTAACTGTGATAGTGGACACTCGGGGAGCGTGCCACAGCCAAACCTGTCCATTCGCCAAGCACTCCCTGTGTGCCCAGCACTGAACTTGGCACTTATCTTATTCATGCCTCACTCAAGAGTCCCTAGAGGTATTACTCTCCCCATTTTACAGATGAAGAAATTAGAGCTCAGAGAGACTAAGTAACATGCCCAAGGTTGAACAGCTAGTAACCAGTAGGGCTGGGATGCAAACCCCCGTCTGTCCGAGGCCAGAGCAGGCACGCTTTCCACTGGAGTCTTCTGCCCCTTAGTAATGGACGGGTAAGCAATGCGCTGAGGGAGCAGAGGGAAGGAAGAGTTTGATTGTGACAGGCCCAGGAAGACGGTGGTCTCCTACGACTTCAAAAAAAACATTTGTGGTGGGCTTGAAGGACTTCAAAGGTAGCAGGAGGAGGGAGGAGGGCAAACCAGGTGGAGGGAACAGTTCCAACAGGAAGCCACAAAGGGGGAAAGTGCAGGGAGCACGAAACAAGAGATATGGACAGTGACCCCAAGGGGTAGCCACGTCCACCTCCAGCTGCTCACTACCCTGTAGGTGCGCATACCCCCACATGCTCTCCCCATGCCTCCTGCTCCAAGGCCCTCACCTTTCTCTAGTCACTGACCTACAGGGCAGCCACAGAGGGGACCAATGAGGACCTGCCACCTCTGCCCCTTGCCGAGGTCAGCCGGGGACTCAGACCATCCCAGCCCATCCCCCAAATAGCTCCCAGACTCCCAGGGAAACTGCTCCACCAGGGCCCAGGCATGAAGCCACCCCTCACCCAGGACCCTACCCAGCCCCTGGTTTCCAGTTTAATCACCACCTAATCCCTCCTCTGCCTGACTTCCCCTGCAGGTCAGCAGTAAAACCTGAAACCTCCCTATCCAGCCTCCTTGGGATGCGGGAGGCCCAGCCTGGGGCAAAGCTGGTGTCTCAGCTCCACTGCCATGGCAGGAGACATCTGTCCCCCCAGCAATGGAGACCTGCTTGGCTGTGGAGCCTCCAAACCTTGAGACCAGACCCCATCAATTCTGGGTCAGAGTACAGCCAACCTCCCCTCTCCTAAAGAGTAGATTCAGTTGGTGGACAAGGGGGTCCAGCCTTGAAATTGTTGCCACCTCCTCTGCTCAGGTGCCAAGGCAAAGCCAGGCTTACCTCCTAGCCTTCTGAAGAGCATCTGCCCAAACCGCCAGCCAGGGAGGGATCTGGATTGCAGGATGGGGGGTGGGGGGTGTTGGTCTGAGCTCAAACTAACCTCAACCCAGTGAGTCACCCATAGGATCCCAGGCTTCACACACGAGGTGCTCCCTTCAACATCGTGGGGTCCAACCCCTCATTTCATTTCATCGAGAAGCACACTGAGAAGGATGGGTTTGCCCAAGGTCGCAGAGAGACTTGATGCCCCAGCAGGGGCTCTCCAAGTATCCCAAGGAGCTGTCAGGGCCCAGTTCATGATGCCAGTGCCCCTGCAAGAGGAAAACCTCCCGGAAATGGGAGGAAACCCGGGGCCCTACCCCTGCCCCCAGGGCCCGGCTGCCAGTCTTGAGAATGAATATTGCCTTTGTGCGCTGGGCTGCCTCCGAGAGCTTCCAAGCAACCACTTCTTCCCAGGTGGCCCCGCCAAGGGCTCGCTCGGGGCTGAGGCTGGGGTAGCCAAACTCCCCCCGGGCCTCCTCCTCGGCCCGCCCAGGGAGGGCCGGACGGGCCGCGGGGGCGAGGGGCGCGCGGCGCCAGGTGCCGCCGGCCGCAGCTCCCTCCTCCGCTCGCCGGTCCCGCACCGTCGCCCGCTTCCCCCTCACCGCGCCAGGCCCCTTCCCGGCTCGCTGCCGCGGGAGGGCGAGGCCCCGGCCCCGGAGCGGGGGCCGAGCCAGGGTGACGGCTCACCTTGGCCAGTGCCTCCTTCTGCTTGGGGCTCAGATCGCCGACTCTGCCGCTCATCGTGGTTCCGGCTCGGGGCGCGGCGGTTGCGGCAGCTGATGGAGCACGGGCTCGTTCTCCGCCGCGGGAGTAAAGTCCCAGCCTTTTGCCCGGGCCGCGGGGCTGGCGGCCAAGCCCCGCCTCTTAAAGGATCCCGAGGGGTGGAGTGGGGAGGGATGCGCTGGGCGCGGAAGCCTCCGGCGCGTCCCTCTCTGTCCTCCTGAAGGCGGAGACCCTGGCAGGAGGCGAGCAGGAGTGTCCACCCGGGCCGAGGCCAGCGGACATTAGAAAGTCAGGAAATCTGGGTTCTAGTCTCAACTTTATCCTTAACTCGCCTTGTGACCTTGGACGAGACACCTGCGCTCCCGGGGCCTCAGTTTCCCCATCTAGATGCTATCTAATGAGCTCTCCGGAGATGGGGTCCCCTAGTGCAGAACCTCACTCCCCCAGACGGGAGGGAGCTTGCCCCGTGCCACTGTGGGGGGCCAAGTCCTGAAGCCCAGCATCGCCCTGCGATGGACTGCACGCGGTAATGGCCATTTCTCTCTGCGGTCTTTGCCCTTTTCCTGTTTGCCACGGGTTTTTGTCCACTGCTGCCAACCCAGCTTGGGGCCTCTCGGTGTTGACACGCTTTCCCCTCCACCTGTGAGGCAGGCAGGCCTAGGGGACAAGGAAGCACAGACCCCGTCTCCCGGCCTAGGGCCCTGACCTCTGCTTCTGACCTTCCCAGCCCACACCCTCAGTGGGCAGGGAGGAGTGCTTCCAGAGGGAGTCAGAAGACCTGGGTCTGAATCCTACATCCTCCACTTCGCTGTCAGACTTCAGCAGGCGACCTCACCTCTGTGAACCCAAGCTGCTCTGCTCACTACACAGAGGTGATGATCTGATCTCGTCAGCCTGAGAGGATCAAGTGAGCTACGGTACCTAAGTCGCTCAGCGCAGTGGGTGCCTAGCCAAGGGTTCGCCTCTGTGACCCCTCCCTAGTCTGCCCTGCACAAGCCTCCCTTTGCCACCTGCCTGGCCAGGCTTTGGCCTCTGGGTGGGGATGTAGGGTGGACATGGAGGAAGCCACAGTAAAGCTACCCACAGTGAAAGCAGGCCTGCTAGCAGCTTATCTGCTTCCCCTGCGCCTGCCCAGGGGCCACAGCTGCCAGTTCCTATAACTGCAAGTCTGACTTGTGTGATGGATGCTTCAGTGCCCTCTGACTGTCCTGCCATGCCTCACAGCCCCTTCCTCATCCAGTGAAGCCATTTCCTCCTTTCTGAGTTCGATAGCCTTCCCCCTCTGCCTGGGCCCCCCTACCCCCACCACATACTCTATTCCTACCTCCATGGTAGCAGCTATTCACATGCCCTGGACCATTCTTTCCTCCTACTGTGTGCCAGGTCCTAGGCACTGTTCTGGGGACCCTGAAATGAATCAGACACCATCTTGCCCTCCCAGAGATAAGATACAGGCACCATCATCCAGAACACAAGACCGAGTTAAATGTGCCAAAGAGAGTAAGTACCTGGGAGGTTAAAGGAGGAGAATTTGCTCTGGGTTATAAGAATCTCAGAAGGCTATGTGGAGGGAGTGGCATTGGAGCTGGGCCCTAAAATATGGGGCAGGAAGGAAAGGGAAAGAAAATCCATTCATTCCATGCTGGCACGATGGCATGAGCCAAGTTTGGGTGGTTGATGGGAAGCATGGCCAGAGAGGAGGGGAGAGCAAGAAGAGGCAGGGAGGACCCTCAGAGAACCACAGTGTGGCCCTGCTTAGCAACGTCGGCCCTGCTAGACTATGAGGTCTTTGGGCACGGGGACCTGAATCCCCATAAGCCCTCGACCCCCAGCACAGCAGCCTACACACAGGGGCTGTTCAATAAACTTATGCTGAATGAATGAATGCAAGAAATGCTCCAATAGGCACAGAGCCAGGTGCTGAGGGAGCCCTGGGAAGGAGACACAAGCACAGATCATTCGGGCATCAGGCAGCTCACCTCACTTAACAGCCATGGAAAACAGACCCAGAGAGGGCATGGCCCAAAATCGTTAGTGGTGTGACAGATGTGGAGAGCTTTGCCCGGTGCCGGGCACATGAAAGACCTCCACTTACAGCCTGGAATTCACACAGAGCCCAAGGAATTCATCCCAGGAGCCCAAGGGCATCCCACCTCTCACAGCGGGGCCCCTGCCAACTCTACACTCAGGTCTCCAGGGGAGTAGAAAGCAGGAGGATCCCAGACTCTCTGGGTCCGAAGGCAGAGGCAGACTACAGCAGGCCTGCTAGAGACGCCTGTGAGACTCTGCACCTGACACGGTCTCCACCATGAAGGTCTGCTGCAGGGTGCAGAGAGTTGAGGGTCTCAATTCAGCCCTGTTGCTGAGAGGCCCCCCAACCCCCACCCCTGGGAGGAGTTTTTAGCTATCCCAGCAGTTCCACACTAGTTAAAGAATCATGGGCTTCTGGCTTAGGGCAGAAGGCATGGCTGCCTTCCTTGTTGGACACGTGGCTGAAATCTTTATATAAGATCCTTCCAGGGGCAAGATGTAGGGCCTATTCAAAGGAAAATAGAAAAATAGCCCCTTTACAGCACTTTATAGTTTGCAAGGCACTTTCAGATCTAGCTTTTCATTTAAGCCTGTGGTAACCCTCTAAGTCAGGTGATTTCTTGAGGAACCTAGGGAAAGAGGCAGCCCCGTAAGAGTACATGCAGATTTAGGGCTTGCACCCAAGCCTCTGGCTTCTGGGCCAAATGCTTCCAGGAACCCACAGGCTGCAGTGTGGACTAGCCTGGGAGTTGCCTACACAGGCTCCCCAGGAAAGCACAAAGAAAACATTCATCCAGCAGGAAATCATCCTCAGCCCCAAAACAAGCCCCCAGGAATCTGGAGTCACCCACCATAAAGGTCTAAGTGAAGTACCCTTCTTCCAGTCTGCCCTTCCCAGGTCCTGTGGCTGCCTGCTTCTCCTTCCTCTACTGAAACGTACCTTACCTCTGGCCCACTATGGAACAGCTAGTTAATCTGATAATATAAATCCTAGAATAATAATCTGGTCACCTCCTCTGAGCTGGTTACTAAGAGAGAGCCCCTCCTCCAAATTCCCATCTTTCCTCTCTCACCCCCTACCCCTGTCCAGTAAGTCTCCCTCCCTGCTAGGTATGTTGTTCCTCTGCTCAAGAATCTGCTGTGACTCCCTAGTTCCTTCAGGAATCAGCCCAATCTCACTGACTTGCATTTGAGGCCAAGGCCCATCTTGTCCCAGCATCCTCAACGGCCTCAATGGCCACTCTTGCCCTCCACGCACTTTTATTTTATTTTATTGTTTTTTTTTTTTAGATTTTATTTCTTTATTTGAGAGAGAGAGAGAGAAAGAGCAGGAGCAGGGGGAGGGGCAGAGGGAGAGGGAGAAGCAGACTCCCCGCTGAGCAGGGAGCCTGACAGGACCCCGAGATCATGACCTGGGCTGAAGGCAGACGCTTAACCCACTGAGCCACCCACGTGTCCCCAAAACACTCTTTCATTTTAGTCAGAGAAGCTCCCTGCTGCCCCTCAGACAGAGCTCAGCCCTCCTGCCTCTGTCAGAGTTGTTTCCATCTCCTGTTTCCTCCTGCCAGATCCTCCCTGACCTTCAAAGGCCTGATCAAATGCTGTTTCCAGGAACTTCTGCCCCATCTAACTAATCCAACATGAGCCCTTCCAGACAGTAACCCCTCTCTCCTGACCTTGACACTGACTACTCTGTGTTGCCGTGGTTGACTATCAGGCAACAGCCTGGCCCAACGGGAAGAGCTCAGCCTCCTCGGTCAGGCAGGCTGGAGATGAGACCCAAGCCCTGCCACTTGTCAGCTCTGTAACGAGCATGCCGTGCTGAGTATATCTTGCCAGGCAAGGTAGTGTTAACAGCTGAAAGAAGGCTGCAAGCCCTAGGAGATCTAGGAGGAGCGTGGGATAACTAATGGCTCTAGTCTTGCTGGTTAGTGCCCTGGGGCTGAGATTCCTTTGGGAGGTGGCTGTGGGCAGAGGTAGGAGCACTGGACTGGGAGTCCAGAGCCGGGGATTTCACCATGTTCTCGAGTGAATGTGCTCTAGTGATTATTTAGCAGTGAGCCCTGGGGAGGGAGGGGGTGCTCCTCTGGGATATCTGCTTTGTCCTCTGGGCCTTGGATGACTCTTCTCTAAAACAAGGGCACTGACCTCCAGATCAAAGGCCCCGGGTGCCTTATCCTGATTCTCTGGTGCCAGTGGGGAAAGGGGTGGTGCTGAGATTGGCACCGTGGTTTGAGAGTCGGAGAAAACAGTCTTTTAAACCCTTCAACAAATATTTGTGGAACACTCTACTTCCATGGGGCCAGGACGGCAGAACTCTCTGGAAAGCCCTTGTGCTTGCAGGCGACCACGCAGAAGGACACTGACTCCAGGCTCCTTGCCTCCTCTCCTTATCCCAGCCCTGCCACACGGGGTTTCAGATGCCTTAAGTTTCTTTCCAACAAAGTGGGGAAGGAATGAAGAAATCCACACTCCCTGGGATGACATGGCCCTGACCGCAGAGGTGATAGCAGCAGACTGAGGAAGTGACAGTGATGGATTCACTCCTGTACCTGCCCGCGCTCTCCTCCAGGTGGTCTACGCTTCAGCTCCTGACTGGAGCTGGGAGCCAGAGCACCCTTCATTCCTTGGCTCCATGAGTATTTAGGCAGCAGGTATGGTGCCAGGCACAGGGACCCTTGGGAGATCGCGGCTGGCCAGGCCTTGCCCTCAGGAGTTCTCGGTCCACAGGGAGATGGCTAAGGCAGCAGGTCATTCCAGCACAGTGCAGCTAGCCATATTGGTGCAGTCAGGAAGCTCCCCACCCAGTCAGGGGGTAGGGCATCTCGGGTTCCCCAGAGACCTGCTGATGACTAAGCAGAGTCGGCCACATTGGAGGGGGCAGGAGGCCTGGAAAACATTCACTCCTTTTGTTCCCTCACATATCTCACTGAGCACTGTGGAAATCCTCGAGTAGGAAAACTGCCCTCAGGGAACTTACAGTATTGGGGTTGGGGGCCTGCCCAGGCTGAGCTTGGTCTGTGGATATGTGAGAGGGGAAGTGGGGGTCAGATAAAGAATCAGAGCTTAGGGGTACATGCCTTGTCCTGATTCTCTGGTGCCAGTGGGGAAAGGGGTGGTGC